ATAGAGAGAGAGGGGGAGGGGAGGAAAGAGGAACCCAGAGGTGATGAGGATGGAGGAAGTCTAACAGAGAGGAAGAGGAGAGAGAGAGAGAATCGAGAAAGGAGAAACCATCATAAAGGGACAACTAAGGTGAGTTAGAGAACATGGAGATGGTTCTTTTGCACAGTAACGTTACTGGCAAGATGGCACGAAGGAGGGGAGGGAGGAGATGGTTGGAGAGAGAAACACATAGACAGAGAGGGGATGGCTGGGAGGGGTCTTGTGCCACAAGTGCTGGTATGTCTGTCTCTGTTCTTGCCTGCAAGGACCACTGAGAAAGAATATCAATGTTATACAGGCATCCAAGGGAGGACCTGTCCATCACTTGGGCCTGCTGGTTGATAGTGTCAGGAGGGGGTGTTGGAGACCAGTCTGAATCGAGGCTTTAATCCTTTTATGTCAGTATTAGAATTGTGTCTAGATATCAAGTTTATTCTCACCTGTAATACCTCCAGATTATGTTTAATTAATGTAGACCAGAAACCATGGCTTACACAGTGTGAATGTATTGATTTCTTTAAGACTCAATTACATTTTATCAACTGAATATGGTAAAATAACTATAGCTGAAGCCTAATTCACGATATCCGTCATTAAATACTCAATATGATGGTAAATAAGCAAGTTCTAGTCTTTTTTTCTCTCCTGCATACATTAGTGAAGGGTCTGGGCAGCCTCAGCACTGCATTGCACAGCTGACGAATCCCTCCGCACACACAGCAGGAAGTAGTTCCGTGTGATTTAATGTGGGAGCACCGCAGGTAAAGCACAAAGTAATGGATCGCTATTAAGTTGGTTTCATGAAGAGAACTGTACGAGATGCTCTAAATATGTGTTTAAATCTAAATGTAGCCGCATTTAACGGCTGAATAACGTATTTTATGATGGGAGGGTTTCATTTAACGTTTTTGTTTTTAATATTGCGCATATGTGGAATGCGAGCGTTACACTGACTCGCATGAAACGAGCCTTTACATTGTCAGAATCACTTGTTATGAATTTGACGCCGGTTAAAGGGACTATGTAATTGACATGGAAGTTAGTTGGGGAGAGGCGAACAGCGCGGAAGGTTTTCTCGGTTGTGAGGAGTCGTCAGGTCTCCCCGGTACATACACACGGATAGGATCCCCTAGTATGCGGCCGATGCAATGAACTGGAGAGAATGAGAAACGTACGAATATCCACAGAAGCTTTAATGTAGTTGTATATTAACAAACGTGCGCAGTGCTGATGTTTTACAACACTTGTTTGTCGCTTTACAAGTTTGAATAGGAGAGAAAGCAAGCAAGCCAGGTAGTGAACTGCTATTCGGACTGGTAACTAACGTTAAAAGGCAAATGTTCAGCGACAGCTAGCCAACAACTGGAATAGGGACATAAGCGTGGCTCTACACAAAAGGACTCAGACTTGAGTGAGCGACTGTGCGAAAAGTGAGGTGAGGGGAAAGATGCTTTTTCTCTGTTTCTCTACTTTTTAAGTTTGAATGATGGCTTATCATTGCCCGAGCGAGATCCGTGCGCGTTTACTCACAGAAATGTTTAAATGAACAAGGAACGGATGATTGGATGGTGGTCGGAGTGATGCGACCTCTCGGAGTTTAAGGGGGCAATCGATAACTGTTTTCCGCTGAAACACTATTACGAGTTGATTGGGCACTCTGTTAAGCGAAGTATTTCAGTGCCTCATATTGAGTGTTTTGGACTCATCTGAAGCGCACGTTTATTTCACACTGAGCCCGACCGCAACTTCAATCAATAGAGACGCTGGTCGTGACGTCACGTGCCCTGTTCAACGCTTCATTTTATGACACATAACGACTTTTTGTTTTGCGTGTAAAGTAAGAACAAATATCTAATCTTATTTTAATTTTTGACGGCGAGTTATAATGATAATAATTTATGCGGGATTAATTTTGTATTCGATTTCGCTAGTATTTTATCTCGCCAATGTATCTTTTGTGTCCATACATCTAGACCAGAAACATTTTAGTTTTATGTTTGTGTAGTTGTTTTGTGTATTCAAAATCACAATTCAGGCAGCCTCTTGAGTTATTATTCATGAAAACAGCGAGAGGTACAGTTTGGTGGTTGGCTATCACAATGGCGTTCACTTATGAAATAAAGGCTTTGGTCATTGTTTCGTTTTGTAAAGGATGGTAACGTTATCTGTTGTTCTGGAACTGCATGTACATGTTTGTAAAGTGATGGAAGTCAGCTCTACTGTTCACTCCCGACATCGTTAATTTTCTGGAATCATTCGCGAAACAAAGACTTCTTGTCCACCGAATGAAAGTCTAATTTACTGACGCTGAAACAAATGAAAGTTATCTAAATTCGTTACAGATTTAGAAACATTACACTAATGCGTATATCCCGCGCTTTGTGGTTTGATACCTCGGTGAATTCCATCACCTGCCGCTCAAAACACAGCCAAGAGCATTTAAACCTTCACATCTTTCACTGTGTCTTGAGCCAAACTTAATTTCCATACACATATATTTTAATTAATTGTGACCCTGGACCACAAAACCAGTCCTGGACCACAAAACCAGTCTTAAGTCGCTGGGGTATATTTGTAGCAATAGCCAACAATACATTGTATGGGTCAAAATGATCGATTTTTCTTTTATGCCAAAAATCATTAGGATATTAAGTAAAGATCATGTTCCATGAAGATATTTTGTAAATTTCCTACTGTAAATATATTAAAACTAAATTTTTGATTAGTAATATGCATTGCTAAAAACTTCATTTGGACAACTTTAAATGCTATTTTCTCAATATTTAGATTTTTTTTGCACCCTCAGATTCCAGATTTTCAAATAGTTGTAGGCTATATCGACCAAATATTGTCCTGTTCTAACAAACCATACATCAATGGAAAGCTTATTTATTCAGTTTTCAATCTCAATTTCAATTTCAAAATTGACCATTATGACTGGTTTTGTGGCCCAGGGTCACAATTTGTACTAATTTGAGGTTAATTTTCTCACCACATTTCATAACAGACTGCAGCTGTTCAGAGAAAGAAAAGATGTGTATATAATGTGACCACTGGAATAATGTTACTTGAGGAAGTCGGTAAAGATTCAGAATACAAAGATTTGTCACTGCACTGTAAATGATAAAAAAATACTTGAGGCAACTATTTGGAGAACCACAAAAAAATCTGTGTGTGTATATATATATATATATATATATATATATACACACACTGAAAAAAATTTTTTATAATTTTGTTCAGTGTATATATATACACACACATATATACATACATGCATACATAACACTTATGATGGGTCAATGAGAATTAATTTGCATCAGAAATGCTGCTAAATTAAAGACCGTTCATACACAAAATAAAATGATCATTCATCATTTACTCACTTTCAAGTCATTCTAAACCTGCTAAGCCTTTTTTCTAAGGAGCACATAAGAATGTATTTTGAAAAATGTCTCCGTTGGGTTATAAAATGAGTTACTCGGGCTCAATGTTTATGTTGGGCCCCATTGACTTTCATTGTATGGGCAAAAACAGTTTAAACATTTTTCAAAATATGTGTTGTGTTCCACAAAAGAAAGACAAACAGATTTGGAATGGCATGAGGGTGAGGAAACAATGACAGAATTTTCATTTGTGGGTGAACAGTCCCTTTAAGATGTTGAAAACAAAGGCCAATGCTGATCCCCTTGAACACTCTCTCTCTGTCCCCTCTAGCCATGCCATCAGTGATGGAGCGATCAGGGTCTGGTGTGCTGTCCCGAAGCAGGGCCAAAACAGTCACGAACGGGAACAGCCAGCACTCTGAGGAAGAGAGCAGTGATGAGGAACACACACGTGGTACGTCTGACACATTCACACACAAACTCCAACTCCAAACCACCATCTGCACCTTCATACACTTACATGGTAGCAAAGTATTAATCTTAATTGTTTCATTTAAGTGTAAAATGTCTGATTATATCAGTGTCTGTCTGTGTATACTGTCAAGCATCCCTGTTGTCTTTTCCTCCTCTCCCTCCCTCCACCCACTTTTCTTCCTCTGCCCTCTGTGAGGATGCACTGCCAGTTTCTAAATCTGCCTGCCTGTTTTTCCCCTCTTTGACCGTCCTTTTCCCTCTTGCTCTTTTGAAACAGACAGTATGATCCGCGTTGGTGGGGACTACCAGGCACAGATCCCAGAGTTCAAATCAGGTAAAGAGGGAGAGGGATATATGAATATATATCTCTGAAATCCATGCAGTTTTCACAGTCTGCATGAGCATGATAAGATAAAGGGCTGTGTGTAGGTGTTTCTGTGTGCACTCAAGTTTATGGGGAGTAGGAGAGTCAAGTCAAGTCAAGTTGATTTGTACAGCGCTTTTCACGATACAAATCATTGCAAAGCAACTTTACAGCAAATTAAGTTTCTACAATATTTAGTGGTAGCTTATCAGTGGTGACTGTCAATTAATGTACATATGGCAGAAATGTATGGAAAAATCGAGAGAACACAGCTATAGTCTTGGAGTATACAGACATATAGACAAAAACAGCAGAGAGGCATAGAGAAGTAAAAAACAACAAGGTTTGGTATTTGAGAGAGGCTGCTGTGTTGTGTGACAGACATGTTTCTTTGTGTTGACAGACTGTGCATCCCGTTACAGTGACAATGACCAGAGGAGCATGCTGGTCTGGTCACCAAACAGCCAAGTGTCCGATGCCATGTGTAAGGAACAATTATTCACACATAGAAATGACTAAAAACTGCTGAGAATCTGACTCAGGCTATTGACGAGGAGTGCTTTAGAAAAAGAAAAGAAACTACTCTTATCCTTTAAAGGGAAACCAGTATAATGTAGGGCTGTACTCATACAGTCATATATAAGTGTGATGTGATTATTTTTCTCACAATATTGCACTGTTATTTTAGATACTTTCACCTGTTTTCTAGATGCATATATACATACATGCTTGCTTGCATACAAATTATATATATATATATATATATCCTGCTGATTTAAAGGCATTGATCTAGAAACTACCTGTAAATTGTGAATCATTTGTGTTGGCCAATAATCTATTTAAAATATCATGTTAAAAATCTAATTAATCACAATTTATAATGTGCAATATTTAAGTAATTTTCTTTATTTAAATATGTGCATATGTGAAACAAAGTAAAATTGAGAATGTTAATTTGATTAAAGTGACTATAATCTCTGGTAATGTAGTTTACACTTCAAGTTTATTTTTTACAATTGTTAATCGGATTATATATATTGTATCAAATCCGATTGATTCTTTTTGAAATGACACAAAAAAATCGCATTTGAATCAAATCGAAACCCACTATATCATTATTTTGAATTGATTCACAGCTGTTTTATTTATATGCATTTGCATTATTTATTTTCTATTATGTTATTGTGATGCCTCGTAATGTATTATTAGGGCTGGGACGATAAATCGATTCAGAATCGATTCGTGGATCGATTCTGAGATTTTCAGAATGCATCGCGATTCCTCTGGAATCGATTCTGAGCTTAGATTTTAACAGCAGATGGTACGGTGGCAGAGAAGTGCAAAGCAAATCACAATTCTGAAAACAAAATAACAAATTACAAACGCAAATGCAAGTCTAAAAAACTAAATAACAATTCAGAAAGCACAACAACAATTCAGAAAACATTATAACAAGTCAGAAAACACAACGACAAATCAGACAAACCGGAAGAGGTAGGTATAGTTTGAGACAGCGCCATTGGTTTGGGATTACTCACCGCTGACTCACAGCCCACTGTGAACACTCTTGTAATTCGCTTCAACCTTTCTAATTTTATGAATTTTTATTTTAGGTTCAAGTGTGTGTAAGGATTTGGAAACAAGCAGAGTACGGCTGTTTCTAAAGCATGCAGTGCCATCTGCTGTTCAAAACTAAGCTCAGAATCGACTCAAGAAAGAATCGCGATGCATTCGGAAAATCTCAGAATCGATGCTGAATCATTTCTCGATTCGCGATGCATCAATTTATTTTCCCAGCCCTACGTATTATAATGTTATATAATCATGGTTGTGTATTTTGTTGTGAGGTAGTTAAGTAATACCCATATCCTTTGTACACTGTCACCAAATCTACCATGTTGGATTGTAAAGAAACTGCATTTTCCATTCTCTCACTCTCAGTGGATGAATATATTTTGATGGCCAAAGAGAAGCACGGATACAACATGGAACAGGTACCATTTTGCTTAAATATTAGGCATGATAGGTAAATCCTCTAGATGGAGGCATAGATCACTGATGGAGTCCTTCTGTCTTCTGTCAACAGGCTCTTGGCATGCTTCTGTGGCACAAGCATGATGTGGAGAAGTCACTGGCTGACCTGGCTAACTTCACTCCCTTTCCTGATGAGTGGACAGTGGAAGACAAAGTTCTGTTTGAACAGGCTTTCAGCTTTCATGGCAAGAGCTTCCATCGCATCCAACAGATGGTGAGCGGGTGGGATGGAGGCAAGATGGGTTATATAAGAGTCATCTGGTGCTCTCACATCTGCAAGAGCAGGCATCTTGAGATACGGCCCAGTGTAGAATCACACATATATGTAGAGAGTCACAGTGAGGTCTCGCTGTCAGCACTATGAACTGTTGTCTTGTCATCCATTTCCAACATGGAAATAATTGAAAAATGTTTCAAAGCATCATGTGCTTCAATGGACATCAATATCTGACCATTTGTACAAAGAAGTTCAAATGCTCAAAGTCACAAATTTGATACGGGACATCTTGTTCTTTTTCACTGTACATGCTTAGTCATAACCATCTGTTATTTTTATTTCTCAGCTTCCAGACAAGCTGATCTCAAGCCTGGTGAAATACTACTACTCTTGGAAGAAAACCAGAACCCGGACCAGCGTCATGGACCGTCAAGCACGCAAGCTCCTTAGCAAGAGAGAAAAGGATGAGAGGTAAAAGGAGAGCAAAAGAGAGAAAGACGGAGAGAAAAGACAATGAATCATTACAAAGTGTGTATTTTTGTTTCTGCCAGTAATGATGAGATTGAGGAAGGAGATCCAGGCAGTGACAGTGACTTTGAGATCAATGCCAGGAAAGAGGTGAGCCTATGGTGTAACACATAAACTAAACTCCATTTTAAAGGGGTCATGTGATGCAATTTCAAATTTTCCTTTCTCTTTGGAGTGTTACAAGCTGTTCGTGCATAGATAAGATCCCTAAAGTTGCAAAGACTAAAGTCTCAAACCCAAAGAGATATTCTTTATCAAAGTTAAGACTCGTCCACGCCCTCCTAAAACGCCTCGTTTAAACACGCCCCCACATATCTACGTCACGATGTGGGAAGATTTGCATAACGCCGCCCAAATGTTCACGCAAAGAAAGAAGGCGTAACTTTTATTCTCGCTGTAGTATTGTTGACGCCGCCGCCATGTCGTGAAGGCGCTGTGTGTTTCGTTGTGAAAGCATAACTAGCCTACTTTATTTTGTCTTCCAAAAGAGGACACAACTAGAAATCAGTGGTTAAGTTGTATTTACAACACTGTTCCAGAACAGATATTCAGATGTGTGCAGCGCATTTCACGGAGGACTGTTTCCTGAACCTGGGAGAGTAGCCTACAATG